GGTGCCCCCCCCCCCCCCCCCCCCCCCCACGCCGGACGGCCAGGGCCCTTTCTCCCGCCTGCTTGCCTGCCTGGTCCGACCAGGCCCCCGTGAGGCGGAGCCGGCCGGGCAGGCGGGGCGCTCGGCGCTGTGGGCGGGCCCGGCGGGAAGGCCCGGCGGCAGGGCCCCTCCGTCCTCCTCCTCCGCTCACCGGGCTCCAGCAGATGAGCGGGTCCGTCTCGGGGTCCTCGACCAGGGTCCACAGCTTGGTGAGGAAGGCGGGGACGTTGCTGCCACCTGCGCCTCCGCCTCCTCCTCCGCCGCCGCCGGCATTCTCCATGGCTCGGCTGGGCCCTCCCCGCCGCCGGCGCGCCTCTCCTCGGCCCCGCGCCCCGAACGCCCGGCGGACTAGCGGCGGAGACGGCCCCCGGGCGCGGCCACTCCCTGCGCACTCGGCCCCTCAGCGCAGCCCGGTATGGCCGCCGCCATCTTGTGACGCCTGACAGCCTGCGCAGGCGCAGTAACCCGCGGCCGCCCCGCTCGGGTCGAGACTTTATTATTCTCATCACTGGGAAGGGGGGGGGAAGGGAAACCGTCGTCTCGCGCGTGCGCACTGGCTCCCGGGCTCTCCTTCGGACGGCTCCGCGCATGCCTCGCGCTTCTGAGCCCAACGGCAATTCTGCGCCTGTGCGGGTGCTCACGCCTTCCTGGGTTGGCAAACACAAGACGTGAAGAAAGAGTGCACGTGCTTCCAGGTTCCTGCCAAAGAGGCCGGGGAACGTGGATCTCACTTTGTTTTCTGCTTCCGGAGAGAACCTTGGTGCTCACGCAGTGTTCCCTCTAAGCTGAGTGAGTGTGAGCTAGCTTACATTTTTAGCCTCCAGCTCACACATTTTTGTCTTCGCTCAGGAAGGATGACTCCAGAGCAAGTAATTTATGCAGTTGCCAAATGGCTCACTCACAACTTTAATGCCAGTAGTTCACAAAGTAGAATTTTTGCTCACAAGACTCCACGCTTAGAGGGAGCACTGGTGCTCAGTTGTGTATCTTACTTATTTACTTGATTTATTTGCACTCCTGACTTCTCTCATCCTCCATTAAGAGTAACGTTCCAGTTTTTTACAGAGAGAATTATACTTGAAAGATTTACACTAACCTATTCTCCGCCTCCACTGTTCCTATTCTCCGCCTCCACTGTTCATCTCCCCCCCCCATAATTTTCCCTGTAAGAATTCCCAAAATGATCTTCTCTTCAGATATCTGGGGAAGCAAGCTCTGAGTCACAAAAATTTGTACTGAAGTAAATGTGGATTCAGGTGGGTCACCATGGCCCCGGTCACATGGGCCGGATATCGTGGGGGGCATGGCTAATTGCCCCGCGCAGTTTGATGCGCGATTACGCGATCAGATGTGCCGGCGGCACACCACGGGTCCTTCCCTCGGCATCTGGAGGCAGCCCGTGGCAAACGTTTACTAGTACCTTGGAGGTACTAGTTTTTTAAGGCGCATTGTTGGCGGTAAGCCACAGGTACGCTCCACTTCCCAGATGTTGGGGTGTGATCACGCCCGGATAATCCGCCCACCATCCGTGCCTCTCCCGTGGCATCTTTGCCGTGTGACCTGGGCCTAAGTTGGTCTGAAGCAGAAGAACAAAGTTTTATTCAAGGTATAAGCTTCATTCAAGGAATGAACTTTCATGGTGCACGCACACTCCTTCAGATACATTGAAATGGAAGTTGCCAGTCTACATGCGGGTGTAAGGCCAGCAGCAAATTAGCGTAATTGCTTAATAAAGGTGTTTAACAGATTCAAGGACCAAACAGGAACAACAAGCTTAGTTTATATGGTCAACATTTGTTTAGGTTTAATTCCAGGGGAAAACAGTGAATGAAATAACTATATCAAAATCAGAGATTGATGGTCTGGGGACAGAGGAGATAACACTGCACATCCAGTCAACCCAACTCAAAGAAGCAAATGCTGTGAAGTTTCCTCCACGCATGAGAAGAGAGAGGCGGAGCATGGTAGCAGGGGCTCAGTTAATTACTCTCAGCACCCCGCAATTAAGAACAAGGATACATCTGCCCATCAATCTTGGATTTTGATATATTGATTTTCTTCACTACGTTTTCCCTAGGAATTAAACCCAAACACATGATGACCATATAAACTAAGCCTCTTATTCTAGTTTGGTCCTTGCATCTGTCAAAAACTTCATTAAGCTGTGTGCTAATTTGTTGCTCACCCTCTACCTACATGTATGGACTGGCAACTTCCATTTCAATGTATCTTAAGAAGTATGCGAGCACATAAAAGCTTATACCTCGAATAAACCGTTGTTGTTCTTGAAGGTGCCACTGGACTCGAACCTTTTTCTGAAGGAAATGTGGTGAGTCTACAAGGCGCCACATTGCAGTCTCTTTCATCAGAATCAAAAAAGAATCTCTACATAATCACTTGTAACAGTTACTCTCGATTGTATAGTATTCTCAAGCTATATACGTATTAATGTTTTTTAATGTACAATGTTTCAATTATTCTCCACTATGCTTAATGCAAATGTACTCAAAAAATGTACTTACAAATTACTTACTCTGAAATGTTTATTACAGAAATTGTTGTATATGTTAATATTCTGAATATATAATTAAAAAATTTAAATAAAAAAAAAGAAAGAAAGAAAGAAACGAAGCTCAGAAAGTGGAAGCTGCCCCGCCTGCGCACTGGATACAACCCTGAACGCCGGAGCCCCAACACATGCGCAGTGTCTTGCTTAGGTCTAACGTGCGCTGGAACTGTGTCTACGCCTCGGCCACAACCTCCTGGGGGCAGTGCCTCGGCGCGCCGCTTGACCTCTGACCTCTTCCCTCAGGTTTCGCACCGGGCGCGCTTTTCATCGATACGGTGCTTAAGAAAAAAAAGGGAAAGCGAGATTCCTTTCGACGCTGAAAACAATAAACACCAAAGGTTTTTTTTTTCTTTTTTTTAAAAGCGTGTTCGCTGGGAACGGGCGGAGACGAGTGACCGCTGACCTTTGCGCGCATGCGCAGTTGAGAGCGGCTGCTGAGGCGAGCGCACGCGGCGCGCGATTGAGGACTGGAGGAAGCATGAAGCCGAGCGGCGGTGGCGGCGAAGGAGGCGGCAGTGAGGTGAGGGTCGGGGGCCGTGGAGGAGGAAGGCGGGTCAGCGCGAGGCTCGCAGAAGGCGCCGGTGGGCGCGGGGAGGTGACGGGTTGAGGGCTCGGGGGCGGCGCACGCGCAGTAGAGGCCCCTTCCGCCTGTCCCTCGTGGAGGGCTCCCCCGGCTGCCCCTGAAATGGGGTGGGGTGGGGGAAGCTCCTGCCGCCTGACGCAGAGTGTCCGTCTCGCACGTCGCCGGGCAAGCGGCGCACACCGTTCTGCCCGCCCGCGTCTTGTTTGCACAACAGCCTTGCGAGGCAGGCGCGGCTGAAGGAAGCGTGTCTGGCCCCGGCAAGCCTCGTGGCCCTGCGGGGAGGGGGGTGGATGGCGGGATCTCTCGCAGCCCCTCGTTCAGCGCTGCAGCGTGCCGCCCTTCACTCCGGGGAAGGCGCTCAGGCGCTCCGTTTTATCCCCACATTACAACCTCGTGAGGGAGGCTCGAAGAAGGGAGATGGGATTCATACCCCGCCCTTCACTCGGGAGTCTCAGAGCGGCTCATGTACTTGGCTGGCTGGATTAACGGATTTGGTAAATGTTACTTTTTATTGGCATGGAAGCTTGCTGGGCAGCCTTGGGCCAGTCACACGCTCTCAGCCTAATCTGCCTCACAGGGCTGTTGTGAGGAGGACAACAGAAGAAGAAGAGATGGGATTCATACCCCGCCCTTCACTCAGAGTCTCAGAGTGGCTTACAAACTCCTTTCCCTTCCCACAACAGACACCCTGTGAGCAATGCTTTCTCTAAGCTGTGGAGTCTTGTGAGTAAAAAGTTCTACTTTGTGAGCTACCGGCATGAAAGTTGTGAGCTAGCGATTTGGCTGCTGCACAAATTAGTTTGCTCTGGAACCATTCTCCCTGAGCTAAGACAAAAATGAGAGAGCCAGAGCCTAAAAACTGTGAGCTAGCTCACACTAACTCAGCTTAGAGGGAACACTGCCTGTGAGGAAGATGGGGCTGAGAGAGCTTTGAGAGGGCTGCCCCTGAGAGAACAGCTCTGAGGGAACTTGTGCATGGCCCAAGGTCACACCAGCAGCTGCATGTGGAGGAGTGGGGACTCGAACCCGGTTCTCCCAGATTGGAGTCTCTTTACTGCTACACCAAACTGACTCTCGCCTTGCAAGGCTGAGAGGGAGTGGCCCAAGGCCTCCCAGTGACCTTCCATGGCAGAGTGGAGATTCGAACTTGAGTATCCCAAATGCTAGTCTGGCCACAGAACCACAGCCCTGCACTGACTGACACTCAAGCTGGGTTCCGTCTCATTTGCCTGGTGGTGGTTTTTCCCAGCCTTTGCCACCCGCAGTCCTTCACCTTAATGTGGCCCTTCCGTGGGTGCTGTAGCACAGAGCCGTGGCCACTCATTGACCTCAGAAAGATGTTAGGAACCACCTTGATCTGCCTGAGACCCCAGTCAGAGAAGCCAAATGCTGTGCCGAGATCCAGTTTGGTGTAGTGGTTAAATTCGTGGACTCTAATCTGGGAGAACTGGGTTTGATTCTCCACTGCTTCACTTGCAGCTGCTGGATGACCTTGGGCAAGCCGTAGTTCTTTCAGAGTTGTCCTTGAAAGGGCAGTTCTCTCAGAGCTCTCTCAGCCCCACCTACCTCACAGGGTGTCTGTTGGGAGTTTGTAAGCCGCTCTGAGACTCCGAGGGAAGGACAGGGTATAAATTCAATCTCCTCCTCCTCCGGCTAAGACAGGTGTATCTGTTTGCAAGCAAAAGCAGCGCCAGTGCTCTTATGTTTGAAGCTGGGCTGGCTGCAGCTTTAGCATCAGAAGACGGGCTTTGCCCTCACTCCAAGCTGTCACCAAGCAGTTCAGAGGATCCTGGATAGCAGTGAGGGGGGAGGCCCTTCTCCAGCCCCAGGGTTCCAGCCCTAGGCCAGAGAAACCAGATGATCAGTTCCCTGTAAGGCAGCCGCCATACACAAAAACCCTCTTGATGCTTCCATGATACTTGGGTCCGGTTCCAGCAGAGAGCTCCTTGCTGGCCTGCTGCCATCAGGCCTGCTAGGGAAAGCAGCAGTGGGCAAGCACCTGTCCGTCCTGCTGGAGCCAAGGTTTTGCTCAGAACCTCCTTCCTCGAGGACATCAGAAGAGCCCTGCTGGATCTATCCAGAGGTCCATCTGGTCCAGCTTCCTGTCTCATATACAAGCCAACCAGTTCCTCTGGAGGGCCAAAAACAGGGCATAGAAGTCTTCCTCCAATGTTGTCTCTTGGCACTGGGATTCAGAGGTTGGCTGTTTCTAATCATGGAGGTTTCCTTTAGTCACTAGAGCTAGTAGCCACTGATGGACCTCTCCTCCCTGAACCTGCCTAATCCCCTTTTAAATCCATCTATCCCTGTGGCCATCACTAAATCCTCTGGCAACAAATTTCACATTTTAGTGACTTGCTGAGTGAAGTATTTCATAAGTGCCTAAGAGAAGCCAGTGCTGGATCTACTTTTCTCCCTTTCTCACAATACAAGAACTCGTGGGCACTCCATGAAATTTCTAAGCGGTCGGGTTAGAATGGATAAAAGGAAGTCCTTCTTCACCCAAAGAGTGATTAACACATGGAATTCACTGCCACAGGAAGTGGCGGCGGCTACAAGCATGGAAGGCTTCAAGAGGGAATTAGATAAGCATATGGAGCAGAGGTCCATCAGTGGCTATTAGCCACAAGGTATAGATAGGGGCTCTGGGGCAAGTGATGCTCTGTATCTTGGTGCTTGGGGGGGTCAACAGTGGGAGGGCTTCTAATGTCCTGGCCCCACTGGTGGACCTCCTGATGGCACTGGTATTTCTGGCCACTGTGTGACACAGAGTGTTGGACTGGATGGGCCTTTGGCCTGATCCAACATTGGCAACTCTTATGTTCTTATGATCAGGCCAGTGGTCCATCCAGTCCAACACTCTGTCACACAGTGGCCAAAAACACCAGGTGCCATCAGGAGGTCCACCAGTGGGGCCAGGACACTAGAAGCCCTCCCACTGTTGCCCTCTCTTTGTCCGTTGGCTTCATTGGATGCTGTCCAGTTCTAGTATTTGGAGACAGGGAGAAAAATTCTCTCCACCCCCATGCATCCTTTTATAAACCCCTATTCTCTAACTATATGTTCAATGTTATTCGTAACCGCTGTAAATTGTTTTGGTATCCAGTATTTGGCTGGAATGTGGGATAAAAATGAAATAGGTGAACATTTTTATGACCAATTTATTTAAGAGGGGCCATCTCTCAGTGGGAGACCACATGCTTTATGTGCGGAAGGTCCACCCCTTGAGTAGCAGGGCTGGGAAATGTCTCTGCCTGAGATGCTGTCAGTGCAGAAGATACTTGGCTGGCTGGATTAACGGATTTGGTATATGTTACTTTCTGTTGCCATGGAAGCTTGCTGGGCAACCTTAAGCCAGTCACACACTCTCAGCCTAAGCTACCTCACAGGGCTGTTGTGAGGAGGACAACAGAAAAAGAAGAAGAGATTGGATTTATATCCTGCCCTTCACTCGGAGTCTAAGAGCGGCTTACAAACTCCTTTCCCTTCCTCTCCCCACAACGGACACCCTGGGAGGTAGGTGGGGCTCTTTTCAGAACTGTCCTTGAGAGAATTTGTGACTAACCCAAGGTCATCCAGCAGCTGCAAGTGGAGGAGTGGGGAATCAAACCTGGTTCTCCCAGATTACAGTCAGATGTGCAAACACTTGGGAGGTACCTGTACAAAGCTGCAGGTTCCAGGCTTGATTCACTGTATTTCTTGCCTTTGCTGTGAACTTGAGGAGGTGGAGCTGTTTTGTGCTGCTGTCTGTAGTTTGCTGGAACAGGCTTTGTGCCTGAGACGTTGGAGAGCGACTGCCGTGAGATCTAATATGTGCTGGCCGGAAGGACCAGTGGCCTGATGATATAAGATGATTTCATAGGTGCTGTCTTTGTGCCCATTTGTACGTCTACCTGGAAGACTCGAGCACTTTGTTCTTGTGCCTGCCATGAGGGCCATGATTTCCTTTATTAATTAAAACATTTACATCCTGCTTTTCCTCGCGGTTCAAGGCAGGTCACAATAATAGTTAAAATGTTTTCAGTTGAAAACTAAAAATAAAGTTACAAACCCCAACTCTCTGCTTTCTGCTGCTCTTAGAGAGCCAGTTTGGTGTAGTGGCTAGGAGCGCTGACTCTAATCTGGGAGAGCCGGGTTTGATTCCCCACTCCTCCACATGCAGCCAGCTGGGTGACCTTGGGTCAGTTACGAGTTTTTTCAGAGCTGCTCTCTCACTGAGCAGTTCTTGCAAGAACTCTCAGCCCCACCTAGAAGAATGAGGAAAGGCTGAAAGAGTTGGGTATGTTTAGCCTGGGAAAGAGAAGGCTTAGAGGGGATATGATTGCAGTCTTCAAGTATTTGAAGGGCTGTCATGTAAGAGATGGAATGGACCTATTCTCTCTTGCTCCGGATTGCAAGACTAGAATGAATGGGTGGAAATTACAAGGGAGTCATTACCGGCTAAATATCAGGCGAAACTTCCCAACTGGCTGAGCAATGGAACAGTCTGCCTCGGGAGGTGGTGGATGCTCCTTCGCTGGACGTTTCCAAGTGGAGGCTGGACAACCATCTTTCGGGTATGTTGTAGGGCTCTCTTTCGGCTGTGCTCCTGCAGAGTGCAGGGGGTTGGACTAGATGACCTGTAAGGTCCCTTCCAACTCTAACATTCTGTGATTCTAAGAAGACAAAGAAGAAGAAGAGATTGCTGGGCAACCTTGATTAGAGTTCGCTCTCTTAACCACTGCACCAAACTGGCTCTCTACTTCACAGGGTGTCTGTTTTGGGAAGGGGAAGGGAAAGAAGATTGTAAGACACTCTGAGACTCCTTCAGGTAGTGAAGGGTGGGGTATAAATCCAATCTCTTCTCCCCCTCCCCCCAAAAGCCAATTCAAGCCCTGTCCAGAGCTGTGGCAAACAGGCAGGCCTTGCGGTGCCTTCTGAAGCTCTCCAAGGTGGGGACCACCCTCACCTTTTCAGGGAGCCCCTTCCACAGAGCTGAAGCTACGATAGAGAAGGCCTGGGCTCTGATTGATGCCAGATGGGGTGCCTTCCATGGTGGGATAGCCAGCAGAGGGCTGCCTGATGGTTGTAGCTGGCACCCAGGGATGCATGGAAGGAGGCGGTCCTTCAGACGTCAGAGCCTGGATTTTTCAGGAGACAGGCAGGGGCAGGTCTAGCCCAAGTCCAGCTTGAGCTGTTGCAGAGATGGCCAGCTTGCTCTCTTCCTAGGGGCCACTCTCCTCTCTGAGGGTTCGGAGATCAGAAGTCTAAAAACAGAACTGAAGCAAAGGGCTAGTATTCACTTGACACAATAAACAATGCAAAAAGTGTACAGTACGATCCTGCTTACAGCAAGCTGCAAACAGTAGTATAGACCACACTCCCTAAACATTTGACCAAGTAATTTTGTAAAGCCTTTTGTCCAGTGCTACCCTGCATAAAAAAGCCCTCTTGGGTCATTCGGATTTGCATCCTGTGTGGAAAGCCAGGAGAGTGGGAGCCAGTTTGATGTAGTGGTTAAGTGGGTGGTCTCTGATCTGGGAAAACCGGGTTTGATTCCCCACTCCTCCACTCGCACCTTGCTGGATGACCTTGGGCAAGCCGTAGTTTTGATAAGAGCTGTTCTTGAAAAAGAGCCGTTTCTCTCAAGAGCTCTCTCAGCCCCACCCACCTCCCAGGGTGTCTGTTGTGGGGAGGGGAAGGGAAAGGAGTTTGTAAGCCGCTCTGAGACTCCGAGTGAAGGGCAGGCTATAAATCCAATCTCCTCTTCTTCCTCAGGCCATTCCGCAAGGTGAGGGCCACCACTGAGAAGGCACGTGTATGGGCGGTTGTTGGGCTCTTTTTGTAGCAGGAACTCCTCTGCATGTTAGGCGACACACCCCTAATGTAGACAATCCTCCAAGAGCTTACAGAGCTCTTCTTACAGGGACTACTGTAAGCTCTTGGGAGGACTGGCTATATTAGGGGTGTGTCACCTAACATGCAAAGGAGTTCCTGCTACAAAAAGAGCCCTGTATGGCATCTGCAGAAGTCCCTGCTCAGATGAGTGAGCGTAGGGGGAGAGCATTTATTTTATTTATTTATTCAAATTTATATCCCGCCCATTCCAGCCTAGGCTGGCTCAGGGCATAATAAAACTGGTTCCATTTAGTGGTTTAACATGTCACATTGTTATGTTTGTATATCCACCAGACCTTCAAGTGTATGGGACTTTTTCAGTGTATCAGTGCAAGCCTTCCTACGCTGTGCACATCAGATCTTTCTTTTCCATACAAGCGGCAGTGAGTGTGCTCTTTTTACTGTCCTTCAAATATATTTGGTACTGGAACGAAGTTTGAGTCCAGTGGCCCCTTTAAGACCAACAAAGTTTAATTCTGGGTATAAGTTTGTGTATACACACACACACAGCAGGCACACGAAAGTTTATACCCAGAATTAAACTTTGTTGGTCTCAAAGGAGCCACTGGACCCAAACTTTGTTCTGTCGCTTCAGACCAATACGGCTGCCCACCTAAATTTAAATTTGGTACTAATGCCTGTAGCCAGATAAATAGGCCTTTGGGGCTTTGCCTGAGCTGTGGTTTGCAAGTCGGCTGTCTGAATGGCCGGACAGGAGAGGTTTCTGTTTGGAGTCAGGGGAAGTGCCGTGTGGATCGCAGCACCAGCTCTCAGTCTCAATAATGATAATGCTGGTTGCTCTGCTGCCCCCCTTTTGTTCTTGGCCTGCTGGGAGCTGCTGGCAATCTGGCATTCTGACACTTGCTGGTTCCTTTCTGCAGCCTCTCTTTGGTGCCGGAGCCCTTGAGGAGCAAGATGAGGCAAGTGACGATTGGACGGATAGCGAGGAAAGCGTTTTCTCTGGCCTGGAGGAGTCGGGGAGTGACAGTACCACAGATGAGGAGGCGGACGAGGAGGACCGTGACAGCAGTGCCGAGGAGAAACCAGAAGGCCTTTTGCAAGTAAGTAAAGGATGCGAGTGTCTTGGCCCGTGAAGCTGTGCCTTTACGTGGCTCTTTCACATTGAGTTTTCCCAGTGAGAACTCTGCCGTATAACTGGTTTGGGTGGAAAAACCCCTCCACCTCCCACTTTGTAAAAAGCTATGTTTTGCTGGCTCATAGTAACAAACGTTGACCATGTGGCTTTGGGCCGAGGTCTTCCCTTTAAAGTGGAAAGCAGAGCCGGAGAGACCACCCTGTAACCGAAACGGCGAATTGTGCTGGCAATATTTTCAGAGGGTCTCTGTGCCTTCTTTGCTGCTTGACCGTAGACATATCCTGGTTTCCAAAAACAACAATACAGTCCACAGTAAACAATGACCAAGAAAAACCAATAAATAACAACTGTGCACTGTATCCTGGTTTCCAGGCAGGAGCAGCATGTGCATGTGCTGTGCCAAGATCCATTCTCTCTCTGCTGTTGCCACGGACTTCTGGTTGCAGAGAGGCTATGGCAGCAAATAAGCGGAAGGGGTTCTGAAAGCAAGGAACGCCTTGGTCTCTTGCCGTGCTGTAGAACAGCTAGATGTGAGTGGCACATGAGAGATCAACAAGATTTTTTGGGTATCAGCTTTCAAGAGTCAAAGCGACTTCGGTCAGGTACGAGACCCTTGACTCTTGCAAGCTTGTACCCTGAAATCCTTGGCTCAGATCTAGCTTTTCCACTGCAGGCCAACATGGCTGCCCTCTGGAACTGGCACGGCTGTCTATGCGTTGTGTGATCTTCCTTTTGAACCTTTGGAAAAGTAAAAGGTAAAACGAGCCGTCGACTCGCGGCCGACTTATGGTGACCCCATAGGGTTTTCGAGGCAAGAGACGAGCGGAGGTGGCTTGCCGTTACCTGCCTCTGCGTAGCGACCCTGGACTTCCTTGATGGTTTCCCATCCGCGTACTAAGCTGGGCTGACTCTGTTTAGTTTCCAAGTGCTGACGAGACTGGACTAGCCTGGACTATCTAGGCTGCCACCGTCTTTCTTGGGGAGCAGCTGGGGGAAACTCCTGGCAAACTGAGCTTTGCCTTCCTTGGCTCTGCTGATTTCTTTTAAAAAGTCCCTCCAGCACTGCACAGATTGGTAGGAGGAGTTGAGAGGAGAATCTTGACAGGTGAGATGCTCTTCCAGGCTCCTGGAGTCCTGTGGAGGTTTCATGGCTAAAGAAGATTCAGTCATCATTCTTCCCCTCAGGGGAGGGTGGGAAGAGCGGCTCAGCTCTCTGGTTGATTGGGTGTCTCTCCTGTGACCCGATTGGCTGCTGGTGTGTTGCAGCAAACGATCCCTGTGTGTCCCAGCCAAATGGTTTTTTGATTCCTGCACACAGCTGAAACTTCTCTGGATTGTTTGTATTGCTGTTTCTATTATTATTTATTTGGTTATTTATAGTCCACCTTTCTCACTGAGACTCAAGGTGGATTACAAACTGTTACATATATAAAAGCCAGTTTGGTGTAGTGGTTAAGTGCACAGACTCTAATCTGGGAGAACCGGGTTGGATTCCCCACTCCTCCACTTGCACCTGCTGGATGACCTTGGGCAAGCCATAGCTCTGACAAGAGCTGTGGTCAAAACAACAGTTCTCTTAGAGCTCTCTCAGCCCCACCCCCCTCACAGGGTGTCTGTTGTGGGGAGGGGAAGGGAAAGGAGTTTGTAAGAAGCTCTGAGACTCTCTTGGGTAGTGAAGGGCGGGGTATAAACCCAATCTCTTCTTCTTCTTCTACTGCCAAGTCAAGTACAGTCAACAGGATCGGACGTCTAGTGAACAGTACACAGAAAGGTTTAGTCTACAGAAATCTGAAGAGAGAGATCTCAAACAGAGCTGAAACAAAGCATAAACACTAGCAAGTGCTGTAGAAACTACCGAGTCTGGAGCAGACTTACAGACGGTGACTGGTAGCAGCAGTGCAGGCCGCAATCCTTGTCCCTTTCCCAATGCAACGTTCGGAGCATTTCATTACAGTACAGTTCTGTTTACCTCTGCAAAAAGCCCTCTGGAATAATTCAGTTCTGCATAGTCTGTGGAAAGCCAGGAGGGTGGGAGCCTTCCTGACATCAGGGACCTTAGAGGTTGAGCAGCTAAAACATGAAATAAAACACAACTATTTATTACGCAGTGCACCATAAATTTAAGATTAAAAACAACATACATAGAATGCAAACAAAAGCTCAGAATGCATTTTGGCCCAGAGGGCCTTCTTCAGTGGTCTAAATTGTACCAACACAGAGATGAAAATGTAAATATAAACTATCTTTTCCGGGCCAAGCATATGAGTCACTTAAAAAGGGTAGCTCCAAGTATAATAGTTGTAAATCAGTCCTGTGTATACTGAGGAGCCCACACTCATCAGAGATGGTAACGATGAACCACCATTCTGTCCTTGGCCGTTGCTCTGTTCCCAGTGTGTGTGTTGATGTGTAAACCAGAAGTGAAGGGATTTACTTCATCTGGTTTACACATCAACACACACTGGGAACAGAACGATGGCCAAGGACAGAACGGTGGTTCATCGTTACCATCTCTGATGAGTGTGGGCTCCTCAGTATACACAGGACTGATTTATAACTCATATTTGGAGCTATGTTTTTTCAGTGACTCATATACAACCTGCTTGGCCCGGAAAAGGTAGTTTATATTTACATTGTTAGGTGTGTGTTAGTACAATTTAGACCACTAAAGAAGGCCCTCTGGGCCAAAATGCATTTGGTCCTGTGGTTATTATAATTGTGTAACCATTATTGAGATGCAGTATTTATTGTACGTGCAACTTACACTTGTTGCTGCATACTATGTTTTGAGCTTTTATTTGCAAGGAGGATAGAAGCTTTCCTTCTCATTGGCATATTGGAGGTTGACAAGGAAGTGTTATTCCTGCACCACTGGCTCCAGATCGACGCTAAATTTTTCTTCTTGTTCGGCTTCTTCCTTCCATGTGTGGCTTGGCTCACTAGCTTGAGTAATCTGTTCTGCAGGCACCTCACTGTCATGGACTTGCACTGTCCTGCTGCCTGGACCACAGAGGCACTGGGGCTATCGATAACTGAAGCCCGGTCAGCTAGAAATGTAACAAAATTGTCTGATGTCCTACTAAGAAATCTGAACCAATTAACTTTTGCGAGAATTGTTCTCTTTAGCGAAGTGGCTGCAGATACTTTGCAGGATTATTGTAAATTAAAAACCTGCTGAGAGAGAACTTATCTTCATATTATCTTCATAGTACAATAAATTGAGGGTTGTGAGCTTTTGTACATTTTCCAGCAAATCAAGAAGAAAGTTTCTGCAAGTTTTAATTCCCTTAGGTGGAAAAACCCCTCTCTTTATAATGCAAGATAGTGAAAAATATATACAAATGCCATTTAATCCTATAAGTACTGAAAGGCGAGGAAAATCAAATCTCCTAACATATCTCAAACATAACTTAATGCAAGAGGTTTAAAGCAAATCATGTTTTAATTAGCTGTCTCAGAATGGTTGAGGAAGTTTTGGAAACCTAATGCACACAGAGAGAAATAGTTCACATAGATCTTTTGACAGTCCGTCGACAGAAACCTGATCTTCCTTGTGCATGACACCTTTTTTTAGAGAGGAAAAAACCCGACAGTTACAAACTATAATAAAGCTTTCTAACTTTAACGTGATTATCCTCTGGATGATATGATTGGTCCCTTATACTAACAGTGAGACAGTCTTGCAGGTGCATCTTGAAATTGGCTCGTTAACTGCTCTAACAAGATTAAAGGGCTAAATCTTGATGCTTACTCGCAATTAAAGCAGCAGTAAATCTGCCGTTTCTTCAGCTACTTTAATGAAATGTCAAGGAGAAAAGGGATTCTCCGCTTTAATCCTGACCAGCTGCTGAACTTACAGGGAGGAGATAAAAACGACATGAGAACATACATGAGTAGCGGGAAGGTCTGTGGCTTATTCAGACACACGTGACAAAGAGCCCCTGGGTCTCTTCCACGCTGCAGTTGAGTTGAGTGTACAACCAGCTGCATTTGGCCTGTGGTCCGACTCCAGACCTCCCTCTCCCAGCCGCATTCTTCTTCCTCTGGCTTGGCTTTCGAGAGTTTTGCCTCTGTCAAGAAAGTGATACTTTGTGTGTTGTAAATAATAATAGCCATATTTAAAAAAAAAATCCCCCAAACATGCCAGACCTCTGCTACTGTCATCAACCTTATTCCTCAGAGCTTGACAGTCCCTCAACCTGGCTAGGATCCTCCTGGGTGATGGGAACGCATGAAAGGGAAGAGGTGGTCATTGCCCCACTGTAGTAGGGAAAGCCCCGCATGCCGTGCCACACTTATGCTGCTTGCTCTGAATCCAATATGAAGCGCTCTTTAGTTGCGGCTGACTTATGGCAACCCCAGGAAAGGGCTTTCATGGCGCGTGACACACAGAGGCGGTTGGCCATCGTCTTCCTCTGCAACTGGTGCCCTCCCCCCCAGCACCAAGAATACAGAGCATCCCTTGCCCCAGACCGAGAGTTCCTATCTATACCTTGTGGCTAACGGCCACTGATGGACCTCTGCTCTTAAGAACACAAGAGAAGCCAATGTTGGATCAGGCCAATGGCCCATCTAGTCCAACACTGTCACATAGTGGCCAACAATACCAGGTGCCCTCAGGAGGTCCAGCAGGGGGCCCAGGGCACCAGAAGCCCCCCCTCCCCAGCACCAAGAATACAGAGCATCACTTGCCCCAGACCGAGAGTTCCTGTCTAGACCTTGTGGTTAATGGCCACTGATGGACCTCTGCTCTTAAGAACACAAGAGAAGCCAATGTTGGATCAGGCCAATGGCCCATCTAGTCCAACACTCTGTCACCCAGTGGCCAAAAATAAAAGCTGCCATCAGGAGGTCCACCAGTGGGGCCAGGACACTAGAAGCCCTCCCACTGTTGCCCCCCCCCCAGCACCAAGAATACAGAGCATCACTTGCCCCGGAGCCCCTATCTATACCTTTTGGCTAATA